AGGCCGGCTTGCTGGAAAAGCCAACTTTTTAGGGCGTGCCGGAAGGACCAGAGGTCGGGAATTATGCGAAGCTCCGGGGATAGCTCATTCCAAAGGGAAGGCGCTCCCAGAGAAGGCTCCCCCCCCTGGGGGTCGCCAGCCTACACTGCCTGGCCCATGGTACCCTGAGGAGACCAATTCTGCGGGATCGTACTAGACGGTGGAGTAGGTGGTCTAGCACATACCCTGGGCCTAAGCCATGGAGCGCTTTAAAGATCATAATTAACGCCTTGAATCGCCCCTGGAAAACAACCGGCAAGCAGTGCAGGCTGCCTAAAAGGGGTGTAAGTACCTAGGTACTTCCATGACAACCTGCACAGCCGCATTCTGGATCAGCTGAAGCCTCTGGGTGCTCTTCAAGGGCAGCCCCATGTAGAGAGCATTACAGTAGTCCAGGGGAGAAAAGATGAGGGCGTGAGTGACTGTGCATAGGGCATCCTAATCCAGGAAGGGGCGCAAGGAAGCCACAACCAGGAAAATGGGAGATTTTTCACTGTTTTTGTTCTCTACTTCTGTACAATACACTTGCACTCGTCAAATGTTTGGCTCCAGAAGAAGCCAAGAATTATCCAAAAAAACAAGGGGCTGCTTGTGAGAAAGGAAATAATACTGAGGAAAAAGAAAACCACTCCCAAAAGCGGGGGAAAGTTGAAACTGCTGGAGGTTTCAGAAATTTTACCTCAGGAGCCTCCTTGGAAGACAAATGAAGAGGGGAAAAATTGTGTCTCATCTCTGACTGTAAAAAAAGGGGAAACTACAAAATGATGGAAACAGATTATGGAAAAGAAAATATAAACTTAAAATATCATGAGGGGCAAAAAAAGTCAAAACCCCTTTCCTAATTCAGTAAATATAATTAGGAAATGCATATATTTCAACAACTAAAACCTAATATTTCAAAAGATTCCCACCCAAATGTATTTGTATATGGAAATACAGCCATTGGTCCTCTTGAAACGTTTTCCAGATTTCAGATTTATATACATTGTGTCTACATTGTGTGGATCCTTTTATGGTAGTTAAGATAACTGTTCATAATAAAACCTTTTCCACACAACATACATTTATAAGGCTTCTCCCCTGTGTGAATCCTTGCATGGGTGTTCAGATACGTCTTTGTAGAAAAACTCTTTCCACATTCCATACATTTATAAGGCGTCTCTCCTTTGTGGATCGTTTCATGGGTCTTAAGATACATCTTTGTAGAAAAACACTTTCCACATTCCATACATTTATAAGGCGTCTCTCCTTTGTGGATCGTTTCATGGGTCTTAAGATACATCTTTGTAGAAAAACACTTTCCACATTCCATACATTTATACTTTTGCCCTGTGTGGCTCTTTTTATGGCC